AGACATTGCGGCTGTTTGGTGTACTTTTTTTTATAAGTTCTTCAAGTTAATAATTCAAAAGTACTAAAAACACACTCCTTTCCAGCTTTTCAATAATTACTTTTGTTTTTTTAATTTTTTAAAATTATTTTTCAATCTTAAAACAATTAATAAAAACTATATCAAATATTTTAACATAAATTTAAAATAAAAAAAGTGTAATGCTATATATAATTTTATTTCTTAACTCGTTTTCTCACTTCTAAACTAAACACAAAGGAATAGGACCAACGTTTAGAAATGTGTATGAGACTCACTCACTTATGTCTTTTAGTTTGAGAGAAAAAAATTATATGTAGCATTATATATATATATATATAAACAAATAGGGTAAATTACACTAACCTCCCTTGAAATTTTAAAAAAATACAATAAATTCTAAAATTTTAACACAATTATATTTAGCTTATTTGTGATTTTAATTTATATAACACTTATCATATTTTCATCAGTAATTTGTTAGTTATACAAATAAAAATTATGATTTTATATCTTTTAAATGAAAATGTATAGTTCACATTATTTATTTTTGTATTTTAGTAACATCTGCATTAATTTTAATCTATTTAATTTCACTAAAAAAATAAATTAATATAATTATATCAAAACTTATTGTATTTTTTAAAAACTTTACAAAAAGATAGTATAATTTACCTAAAGCCATAAATAAACTACCCCGAACAAACAAATAGTATGGTTTTGCAGTAAACCCAATCTTGGTGCAAAATGAGTGACTTATTGGTGCTGTTTGGTGTAGCTGTTAAAACAGATTATAGATTATAATTTAACAGATTATAGATTATGACTTTAATCAGAAGCTGTTAATCTGTTTGGTATAGCTGTTAGATTATAGATTTAAGTTGCTGAGTAGTTTTTTCAATTAATTTTTATTTTTTATTATTCACTATTTGTCTACATTTTTCATAAAAAATAATAATAATATTTTATAGTCCATTTGGGTCTTTTTCTATTTTTAAAAAAATAAAAAATAAAAAAATCTAAGAGTATAACCGTGAATTAACATGTCCACAGCAGAAGCTGGTAATCAAAAGCAAGGGGTGAGCAGCTTCTCAGAATTAGTTTTTTTACTTAAAATAAGTTGTTAGAATCAGAAATTGTTTGAAATAAGTTTAACCAAACAATCCAAAATAACTTTTTAAAAGTCAAAAGTCATAAACTGACTCAAAAAAATCCCACCAAACACCCCATTATTGATGGAAAATTGCAGAGAAGTCACAAGGAAAGAGATGAGAAGCAGCACCATTAGAATTTTTTATTATTATTATTGTTTTCTTTAAATTGGCAATGGCATTGGCATGTGATTTGCCCAACCGCACAGAAAGATGGGTTGACTAGTCTGCCATTAGTATATTATAATATAGGATGTGGGGTCTGGTAGGGTTAGCAACATTGATGATTGATGAGGCATTGTTCAATTCATGCTCATGGACAATATGAATACACAATACAAATTCACTTGTGAAAAGGTATGTTTATTCATATAATTTCTATGTTTGTTTGGTTTTTGTGTTTTTAAATTTATTAAAAGTTAGCAGGCGAAATGTTTGGAAAAGATCTTGAAGAGCCTCACTATTTATAAATGTGGAATGTGTTGAAATCATTAAAGTTAGAAGACGAAATATCTTTGTTTGGAAAAAGTCTTCAAAAGCCTCACTCTTCGGAAATAAGTAATGTGGTGAAATCAATTCCCTGTAATTGGTAATGATAATACTATAACGAACATATTATTTTATTATATTTTGTAAGAATGTAATTGTTGTGGGATTGTGTACTAAAATCAAATAAATAGATCTATATTGAATAATTACTTTAAATTTCAGAATAAGAACATATTAAAATTTATAGAAATTCATAATAAAATAAAACTAGTAGTAGGAAGCAAACCGAAACCTGTGTGATACCACAGTATCCTTAAAATAGATTAGCCGCCTTACCATGGGTACTGGAGGTACGTCGAGTTCTGTCTCTCAGGATATGACGGTCAAAACCAGCTAATGCAGAAGCACCTTCTGAATAGTTTTGGCGAACTTGATAATGGTTGCACTTTCTCTAACAAGAACCAAAGAAAGGACTAGCAAAAGAATATAGGAAAAAAAATTTTGGTGTAAAACCATCTCCAACTCTTTATCAAAACATCATCTCTATTTTTCATAAAAAAGACTCTCAAAACTTATATCTTTCAAGTTGGAGGGGAAATGCCTCTATTTATACAAGTAGGGAAATCCCTAGCCATAAAGGCTATACATCAATAAGCTCATCAAATGCCATTAACCATGGCCATCAATTCTAGCCATTAGGGCTATAGTTACAAAGGTTGAAAACCTATGACCACTAATATGGTCATCAACTCCATCATCAAAAGATGAAAGTTACAAAGGTCTTAACCTCCCATGTGCTTAATATATACAAATAAATATGTATATAATGATGCTTGAATAAACCAACTAGATGGGTCACACAATGGATACCAATGTTGGGTCACAACCCGATCCAAACCCAATTCTCAAACACATGCACAAGTTAAGTCCAACACAACATAACTTAGCTCAAGCTTAAGATTAAGTCCAAGTCTATGTCCAAGACCAAACCCAACACATGCACAAGCACAAGTACAAGTCTAGGCCCAGTCCAAACTAAGACTAAGTCCAAATCTAAGCCCAACTTTTATTGATGTCCACTTTATGAGACAATTCTCATTCACACCTCAATGGTTTCGGTCCATCATTTTTATATTGTAATCTTCTCACTTCAGAGAATACAGAACTACTCAGACCCACCTCAACTGACGATTGGGTCCCACTTTAATTTTGAATTAAAGTTGCCAAAAAATCATTATTTTCCAATAATCCCCTACATGAATAAATTGGCCGAATAAAGAAAACGGACAACGCTTTACAACAAAGACTCAGAGAAAGAGCACACAAAATAATCCTGCATCAGAAAAGGTAGCTGTTGGCCTTGAACCTTTCATAGTGAAAGCCTATCGGATTTACTAGCTGACCTGTGAATGTGATGTCTTGAACTGTTCTGCCGTTTGTGTAAATCGGGACAACAGACCTCACACAGAAGTTACTCTAACCATTATTCTTGTTCTCACTGGTGTGTCCGGTTTGGCCCTGGAACACTATCCTGGTTCAGTTAGTATTTTTAAAGAATTCAGCCTTGTTAATTCTTAAAGAAGCGGCCCCACTTCGCACTCACATAGGTGACCTACATATGGTATCTCTCTATGCCACGGTTGACTATTCACAACACTTAGGTCATTAAAAGCATCAGCTTAACCTCCTACTCCATAGGGTATCACTGTATAAAGGAATGGGCAGGAGGGTTTACCTCCACAGTGACTCATCTGTTACACGCAGTTAGGTTGTCCCTTTGAACCTAGATCTTGGGATCTCCAGTCAACTAGGTTGGGTTTTCCATTCCGATAACATTACTCAAGGCCTTAACCCCATTCCTCTTGACAATGTTTCTACTAACTCTCGAGTTAACCCTTTGGTTAGAGGATCCACAATGTTGTCCTTAGACTTTACATAGTCTAGAGAGACAACTCCAATTAGAGAATAGTTGTCGTATGGAATTATATCTATGACGGATACGTCTAGACTTTCCATTATATATATGACTTTGTGCCCGTCCAATCACCGATTGGCTATCACAATCAATACAGATGGCAGGCACATGTTTCGGCTAACGTGGAATATCCCCAATGAACTGGCGAAGCCATTCAGCCTCTTCAGTTGCTTTATCCAACGCAATAAATTCGGATTCCATCGTTGATCTCGATATACACATTTGCTTGGAAGATTTCCAAGACACAACTGCCCCACCAAGAGTAAACACATATCCGCTAGTGGATTTGGAGTCCTTTATATTAGATATCCAATTAGAGTCACTATACCTCTCTAATACCGCTGGGTATCTGGTATAATGCAGCCCATAATCCCGGGTGTAGCGTAGATAACCTAACACCCTCATAATGCCTCTTCAATGAGTGGCATTTGGATTACTCGTGTATCTACTAAGCCTGCTAACAGAGTAGGCTATATCCGGCCTTGTATAACTCATTAAATACATCAAACTTCCAATGACCCAAGAATATTCTAGCTGAGAGGCACTCTCACCATTATTCTTGGTCAAGTGTAGACTCACGCCTACCGGTGTCCTAGACATACTTATATCTAATTTACTAAATTTCTCAAGTATTTTCTCAACATAGTGAGATTGAGAAAGTACAATACCACTAGATGTTCTGATAATCTCAATACCTAGAATGACATCTGCAAGGCCCATATCTTTCATGTCAAACTTTGAGTTCAACAATCTCTTGGTAATTTGAACCATTTCATCATTACTACCAACAATAAATATGTCGTCTACGTATAGACACAAAATGACATAACCTCTGTCAGTGTCTTTAACATATATGCACGTGTCACACTCATTGATTCTAAATCTATTTAACAGCATAGCGTTGTCAAACTTCTCATGCCATTGCTTCGGCGCTTATTTCAAACCATATAATGACTTGACAAACTTACAGACTTTCTTATTTTTCCCTGGAGCTGAAAACCCCTCGAGTTGTTCCATGTAGATTTCTTCATCTAAATCTCCATTTAAGAAAGCTGTCTTTACATCCATATGATGTATCTCTAAACCACGTAAAGCGGCTATCGCAATTACCGTGTGAATGGATGTAATCCTTGTCACAGGTGAATACGTATCAAAGTAATCTAGGCATTCTCTCTGCTTGTATCCTTTGATAACTAGCCTAGCTTTATATTTATCAATTGACCCATCAGCTTTCTAAAGATCCACTTACTCCCCAAGGCCTTACTGCCTGGGGTTAGATCAACCAACTCCCAAGTATGGTTCTGTAAGATGCAGTCAATTTCACTTTTAATAGCTTCTTTCCATAAAAGACTTTGTGGTGAAGTCACCGCTTCATGGAAAGTTCGAGATTCTCCCTCTAACATATAAGTCAAGAAGTCCGGGTCAAAGGACTTGGTAGTCTTAGCCCTCTTACTCCTTCTCGGCTCATTTAAATCCTCAATTTGATCATCAACTTGATCATCTAAGTGATCATCTGTTTGATCAGCTATGTGATCATTGTCACTTTTAACCTCTTTCATGGAACTCGGAATACATTTCAAAGAAAGATGCATTTCTTGATTCCATGATAGTATTCTTGTGTATATCTGGAATACCAGACTGAACCACAAGAAATTGATATGCACTGCTATATTGTGTACAACCGTTGAATACAAAGTCAACGAATTTTTAGACTTATCCTAACCCTCTTGGGTTTAGGTATTCTCACCTTTTACATGACACTCTCACATTTGTAGAATTTATACAAAGGCTTTTGGCCTTTTTCGAAAATTCATACAGGGTCTTTAAGCAATTCCTTGTGTCACAATGATTATGAAACTCTTAAAATCATATCACAGTAAATACATTCCCAGACTATCATTAACCGAATTAATATTTGGTCCAACCTATCACTCTGAAGTCAATAGTCTTACTACTCGGAAACACAAATCTAGTATTCAATAGTCTACTATTCAGAACTTCATAACATGGCCACTAGTCTTATCATTAGGAATCACTAATTTCTCAGCATATGGTAAGTAGACTTTCTTACTACTAGGAATCATAATGTCTTAACCTGTGATCAGTAGTCACTTTACTACTAGGAATCACAACGTCCTGACATAGGATCAACAAACTCTTTCATTACTAGGAATCAGCATGTCTTGACATATGATTAGTAGCCTCTCTACTACTAGGAACCATCATGTCTTGACATGTGATCAGTAATTTGTTCACTACTAGGAACCGCAATCTCATAACTGTGTAGCCAGTGGTCTAACACCTCCTAGGAACCACCAGTTTTCTATCTCAGTGATCAGTGATCTTATACTCACTAGGAGCCACCAATTTAAGAATATATTTGGAATTTAAAAATTCAAAAATATATTCACCCACCCTAATGGGTTGTCTCATCTTTGCTTTCAAGCAAAGTCACATAGCAATCATATATGCTAAATTGACACAAGGATAACATACTAATTACCTCTAATTAATTCAAAAATGTTATCATGCAATCTTATGATTTCCTTTAATCACACTTGATCTCTCTAGATCTTCTTTTAAGAATCTCGCAAGGCTTTATGTTGTCAGGTGGAACAACATTTCTGTTGTCACCTCTTGAAGCCATTTCTGAAAAATCACAACAGAATTTCATTATTCTGTTTTTTTTTTTTTTCTCCATAAACTAAACTTAACACTAGAAAATCCACAGTTGAAAATTTAATTCAAAATTAGTCTCACCACTTAACATAGAATCGAACATGGTCAAGAATGTTCCCAGGAAGACTGGAGGGGTCACATCGATCCCACTTAAAACCCAGTTAACCTTTTGACAAAACTTTCAATAACATGTTGACTCCTAGTCCATGAGAAACAAATTTAAAATTAAGTTTTCCAGGAGATAAACCAGGTTATAGGTTATAACAAACCAATATCCAAGCAAATAAAATTTGCTACCAAAATTACACCACTCATAAAAGTTAACCGGTACTCCCGGAACTAAGCCCATTATTTTTGACTAAACTCAAAAATATTTTAGCTACTGCTAAAATTTGGTTTCTTTTTTCAAACCAAAACATTTTGAAAATAATCAGATTATAACCAAAGACTTTCTCCAAACTTAGTTTCCAACACTTTGGGAATAAAATGATTAAACCCAAAGACTTCCTCAAACCCCAAAGGTTTGAAACCAAATCCGTCTTAGTTGTCATTTTTGAACAAATAAGAACTGCTCTTTAGCCAATGCTAAAGACTTTGGTTTCTATTCTAAAAAACCAAACCAAGTTCCAAACTTACAAGCAATTTAAAAATTACTACAACCAAATACATCTATATAAAATGCTTCTAATAATGCAAGCAAATAAAACTTGCTACTACAAATTGGTAAACAAACCAACTAAATCTCAAGCAAAAAATACTTCAACCATTTAAATAAAATAGCTAATCCGTCAGGATTCTATTTAGTCCAAAATCTTTTCCACGCTTAGAAATTCCTATTCATCACAAAGGTTAGTTGTCCAGACTTTTTGTTTTGACACCCCAAATACTATTCATTTGGTTTTGTACTTGTTTTTCCATTCCCTTTTGCATAAGTATTCCTGTAAAGAAAGTTATCAGAAAACACAAGAAAATACAAACCAAACAATCTAAACAAAATGTAAAGGTACTAAATTAATTGAAACTATCTAGCCAACTATTGAATAATCAAATTAACCAATTAATTAAAATGCTAGATGAGTTACCCAACTAAATATATGTAACTTCACAATTAATTTAAAAGTTAATAGCCATGAGTTATGAATGAACTTAATTCACAATAACCATTTAGACATATAACTCCAAATAAATAAATTCAATTCAAAATTTAATTCACCCAAACAAATTACAAACTTTATAACTCTAAATATTAAATTGAAACTTTTAAAATAAAGTTTGTAACTCCATAATTAAATTAAAACTTTAAATTAAAATATGTAACTCCTAAATTAAATTAAAACTTTATGGACAATTAATATGTAACGATCATACACATAACTATAGAAACAATAAGCATGTAATAAAAATTAAAATCCAGGAATTTTAAACATACAAATTTTATTATAAAGTTATAAATCATGAGCATGCTAAGATACAAAACTAAATTAGTACTCATATAATCAAATTATCTAAATATGCTAGAGATTTAGTCATCAAAGGCAGCCTAAAGAAACTGAGCAAATACATGTGCATAGAAAACAGTAAACTCCTAATTTATAACTTCCATAAGCATGTAAAATTATAAAACTAAAACTCCAAAAAATTAAATTGATAGTTTATACATTAACTATGTACATAAATATAAACAAGTTACAAACATTTTACTAGGAAAACAGATATATGCTTGTTACAAAACAATAATCATTGAGCAATTAACATGTAAATAATTCTAAAAATTAAATCATATACGAAAACTAAAATCTAGAAAATAATTAACATGTCAAAAAAAGCATGATTTATAAGTATGAATTTCCAGGAAAATAATTACATATAAATCTATTTATTTTTTCCATGAGAAATACACAGTCTGTAAGTTTGTTGTGGAATTGTGTACTTAAATCAAATAAATAGATTCATATTGAACAACCACTTTGAGTTTCAGAATAAGAACATACTAAAATTTATAGAAATTCATAATAAAATAAAACTAGTAGTAGGAAGCAAACCGAAGCCTGTGTGATACCATAGTGTCCTTAAAACAGATTAGCCGCCTCACCATGGGTACTGGAGGTAATACGACAGCAAAACCAGCTAATGCAGAAGCACCTTTTGGATAGCTTTGGCGAACTTGATAATGGTTGCACTCTCTCTAACAAAAACCAAAGAAGGGACTAGCAAAAGAATATAGAAAAATTTTCTTTGGTGTAAAACCATCTCCAACTCTTTATCAAAACACCATATCTATTTTCCATAAAAAAGACTCTCAAAACTTATATCTTTCAAGTTGGAGGGGAAAGACCTCTATTTATACAAGTAGGGAAATCCCTAGCCATAAAGGCTATACATCAATAGGCTCATCAAATGCCATTAACCATGGCCATCAATTCTAGCCATTAGGGCTATAGTTGTAAAGGTTAAAAACTTATGGCCACTAATATGGTCATCAGCTCCATCATCAAAAGATGAGAGTTACAAAGGTTTTAACCTCCCATGTGCTTAATATATACAAATAAATATGTATATAATGATATTTGAATAAACCAACTAGATGGGTCACACAATAGATACCAATGTTGGGTCACAACCCGATTCAAACTCAATTCTCAAACACATGCACAAGCTAAACCTAACACAACATAACTTAGCTCAAGCTTAAGATGAAGTCCAAGTCTAAGTCCAAGACCAAACCCAACACATGCACAAGCACAAGTACAAGTCTAAGCCCAGTCTAAACTAAGACTAAGTCCAAATCTAAGCCCAACTTTTATTGATGTCCACTTTATGAGACAATTCTCATTTACACCTCAATGGTTTCGGCCCATCATTTTCATATTGTAATTTTCTCACTTGAGAGAATGCAAAACTACTCAGACCCACCTCAACCGACGGTTGGGTCCCACTTTAATTTTGAATTAAAGTTGTCGAAAAATCATTATTTTTCAACAGTAATAAAATAAATTTTGCAATTATTTTTTATTTATATAATTTAGTCATCTCTTAATAGAATTTGTGTCTATTAAGGCCTCATTTGGAAATCTTCCCTTTTAGTCAAAAAGTCAAAAAATTATTAAATTAGTCAAAAAGCCAACAACCCATACCAAAAAGACAAAGTTTCTCTTTTCTCTCTATTTTTTGTACATCTTTTTGTAAAAAATTAAAAAATCGTTCCAAATATATTAATTTTTTTAATTCATATTTTAATTAAATAATTAAAAATTACTAAATTAGTCTACTCTCAAATGAGGCTTAAGGAGTGAGAGAAGGTGATTGAATGTGATTGTCAACGGAATGTAGTACTCGAAGGTGATTGGGCCAGGGTCACTATTGCTAGGAGATAGTGAAGCGATTGTCAATCAGAGATATTAATCAAATGTGATTGTTAATTGAAAATTTTTGCTTGTAGTTAATTTTTTTTTTTTTTTTTTTTTTGTGGTTATCTTGTGAATTCAGAAATTACGCAAATCCAAATATTATGAAATTTTACAAATTGTTTTAAAACATAATTTCATATCCATATTCAATATTGTTTATATTTGATAGATTTCAACCAATAAATGTTTAAAATGTATTTTTTTATTAAAAAATAAATGTGTAATAAAAATTTAAATATTTTAATATATGAAATTAAAAATAACTAATTTAACAGATCAATGAGTAAGAAGTGCTCTACTAAAAAAAATCAATTCTAATCTTCACTTTAAAATATTATAAACAAGAAATGGAACTATACAAATAAATAAATAAATAAATAAACAAATTAGTAAGATATAAATCTAACATAATCGGTAGGATTTACTACCCAAAAAAATTCATAAAATAATTAAGGTTGGCGTTCAGGTTCAGC